TGTGTGTGTGTGTGTGTGTGTGTTAAAGCTTCAATGCAACCCACTTTACTGATGTCTCTGCTGAAAGCCAACCAGAAAACAAGAAAAAAGACATAAAAGGTAAGTTATCAGTCCTTATTTCAAGAAAATTAAATGCCATATTGCCTAATTTAGCTACCAAATCAACCATAAAACCATTGAATAATTAATAGTGAAAGAACAAAAACAAGATTGGTGGATCTTTGTTTATTTGAAAGAACAGAGCACAGCAGTTTGAGCACAAAACCATAATTCAATTCTGAGCTCCTCTTCCGGCAGAAGCAAAGCTTTGAATGCTTAATAAATTCTTCCGAAGGCTAAATTGCACACTTGTTTCATCTGGCAATGAGATTACTTGAATGGAATATTCTGGAAAACTGTGGAGAGGAAGACAATAATGAGGCAGTAATCTTATTTCTCCACAGCAGCTTCCATTGTTCTCTTAAAAAGGCTTCTGTTTAGTCTGGTTCAACTGTCATTCCCATCCATCTTCCCATTGAGGGAAATTTTTGCAAAGCCAAGGATAAAATGAGAACAATAACATTTCTGCAGCACTCAAATGCATCAAACGCAGATAGGAGGGAGTGCTATTGTTTCCCTCTGGCTCTTTGGACAATCACTAGATAGCAGTAGTGACTATATGAGCGCTGGTGCAAGCACAGATCAAGTGAACGGCATCAATCTCCCTAAAAACTTCTTAAATGACTTCCTATGAATCAGCTCAACTTATTTTTGCTTCTTGCTTTGGTTGACTTTAGTCAACTTTCCAAATGTTCACACTAAAACATATCACAACCCAAGCCTTTTTCCCTGTGAGGATGGCCCCTGTAAATGAGGAATCATCCACGTGGGCCAGCAGGGGTTAAGCTCCCTTTTTGAAGATTATGCTTCACTTTCCAGTGGCTTGGCCCAGACACTAGCCACTCTCTTCTAATCCACTACTGCAGGCTTTTGATAGCTCCCACTGTGAGTCCTTATTACAGTTACTGATTAAAACTGAGAGACAGAGAGAAGGAAAAAAAAGACAGATAGGAAATTAGAGTGACAGAAGAGAAGGAAGGGCAAATGAGAGAATTAAAAATGACTATTTCAGAAGCAGGAGACTAAACTAGCAGCTAACTTTGATTACCTCTAAATCCAATGCTTCGGCTTAAATGTGGTTACTCAATAGACACTTTTACTTTACTTGAACTCAGGTCCAACTAGTATGCTTAAAAGTTGCTTTAAAAAAGGGAAAACCTGACCCAAAACGCAAAAGTCCAAAACATTTAATTTCATATTTGACATGAAAAAGTGTCGCCAGAAAAAGTGTAAAAATCCCAACTGTGCATTTTTGATTCAGCACTGTAGCATTAACATCCTGAAAGTACTAATATCTAGATGCCAGGATGGCTGCAGAATGATTTAAAAAAACAAAACAGACTGTCACAGCTGCAAAAGAAGAAACTTTAATCCTACGTGATGACGTTCCAGCGCTTTATCAATCACAATGGTGAAAAAACAACAACAGTCTTATCTGGCATCAGCTGTTTACACTCCACCATCTCTTGAAAAGCACTTATTGTGCTGTCAGGCCTCTCAATCAGTGCTCCCATCCTCCCTGATACTAAATAATCTCTGGGATAAAATCTACACATGGCCATGCTCATCCTAAAAACTTGACATGAATAATTCACAACCATCTGCCGTGGATCAGTGGTCTGAATAAGACTCAGAAAAGTGAGGAGGTGCGATTCTTGTGTTTATTTTAAAAACCAACTGCTCGCCTCGGCCCCCACCTTGTACCTCAACAAAAACTGACATAAAGACAACTGCAAATCCCCACATACCAACCTGCCAATCTAAATACCTGCAAGTTACGGTAGCACGCTTCCTGTCGTCCACACCGTTACCGGGCTCTGCTCTTTTAGTTTTGTTGCGCACATGATGGTGAATTAATGTTAGGATGGCGAGATGGATGAAAAATTTAAGAAAATATATTCACAGGATGAAACAGTAAAAGCAGAATTGCCCCAAAAAAATTCCAAAGGGACATCCTGCTATCTGATTCCACTCGGAAAAGTGTGCACTCTGCAAACACACAAGTAGGCAAGAAAAAATTGCAGATTCTCTACAAGCTGCCAGCTTAAAGCGCAACCATCAGCCAGCAACAACTATATCATCATAAATAGCACAGGATAAAGAGGTTGGGATCACTCCAAGAAGTAAAATACCAACTTAGACTAGTAAACAATACCAACATCTACTAAACCCAGCATGAGCTTTCTTTCTGGTCAGACTGTACGGACCTCAGAGGGTTTTAACAAGCTATACAAGGCCTCCAGCAGCAGACGGCCCCTCTCTCTGTTTGTGTTCCAGGCAGGGGAGTTGCTCTGCATGACGATTTATTGACGCAAGATCCCGCTCAGCCAGGACCTGCCACCGATTACTGCCGCTGGAGAACGGAGGGGAGGGTCTTGTTGGGATGAGAGAGTTTGTCTGTGTGTGTGTTCTAGCTCCGGCTCCAAGGCCATAAACCCAGTTCCAAAATGCGAAGCAGCATGTCAACATGCCAGCCTTTGCCACCCAAGTTTAAGTCAGACAAAAGGCCCTTCAGTGCTCTAAAATGGTGGTTTGAGAATGGGAAACGATGATCTGTCATATATGGAAAAAGGCTTAGTAATACTGCATAGACAGGAGGGCGACAAGGGGAAAATGAACTGCTAACAGGAGGTGAAATTGAGGAGTGAAAGCTTCATTCTTAATTTCAGAGTCAAAGTCTGCCAGTCGAAATGCTTTGGTTTAATACAAACTTTCAACAGAACAACCCCTCACGTGTTTTACAGTTCTGTATGAAAAATTTGGCTTCATTATGAATCATAAGAAATCTGTGTTTCAAAAATGGGATTAGACTGACTGACATATTGTGAGTAAGTAAAAAAGGGCTCCCACCCATATTGAAGCAGTCCAAATGAGATGAAACAACTGTGGATTCATGTTGGGACCATTTTTTCCATTGTTCCAAAAGTGGATTTTGGCCATGAAAGCACAAGCAAGTCAGATGATATCTATTAAAATAACCAGGAAATTGACAAGCATACCTCAAACCTGACAACAGTGAAATCCTCCACCTTAAAGTTATTCTAGAAACTTTTCAAAAACTTCAAGTAAAAAGCTTGTGAGAACTGAGAGTAGACAGAGACAAAAAATAAATAATGCCCCACTCAAAGGTTCCACTTATGTAACTCAACGCATTTAGGAAAAAAAATCACAGCTATTTGGACGGCCTGAAACATCCATTCTGACGCAAACTATTTTGGCTGGGGCAACGTCACGTCTCTACTCACAGTTCAAGAGAAAAGAAGGTGATGCCAGCAACCCGCATTGTGCCTCACAGGACCAGAAGCACCACAACAATCAAACAATGGTTGTGACATCATTGCGTTGAATACGACCAAGACAGCCAAAGCATGATGGGTAAGAGGAGGACACAATTGGCCTTTTGTCCACTTTGGTTTGCAACTGAGAAAGAGGAGAAGCCAAATCTGCATCATGGTTGTGATTTAAGAAAAGAGGGGTTTTAGAATAGACCACATGGGAAGCCCCCATTGGTTGAGGTCAAGCACACCAGGGAATCCCTTTTGAGCATGCAAGAGTCCCCTACTGCGAAATATAATTCATGACCAGTAAACACACCATATGAGTGTCATGCATGTGGGGAGTTGCTCAACAGACATTCATATTTTCTATGAACTACTTGTGATGTTAGAAAATGCTCCCAAAAACATAATTGAAAAAAGCATCTGGAGGCAGAGTTTGTTATTCACTGTTCTCTTGCACCCACAGTCTGAGGGATTTAAAAAAATGTAAAAAAAATGATGTGTGTTTGTGGATCACTGCCTTTCTATAAATATATCAATACTGCACAGATCAAACAACAGCTTTACTCTCCCATTAACCGGCAGACGCACAGAAAACAGCACATCTTCATCTGAAAGAATCACAAAGATACCAAGATATATACGTTACCAACAATCTCTAGTTGAAGTGGTAACAGCATTAGTAACGGTAAGAACATGGCTGAAATATACTCAAGACTGTGTGGCTACAAATTCCATGTACAGTGCGTCTATGTCACAGTGTACATTGTGACTAGAGAAAGCTACGCAACTGGCTCGCAAGTCAAATGAACAGCTAAGTTGATAACAAAGACAAAATAATACATTTGGAGCATAAAGGTATAAAATATGAATTCAGCAACATCATCAACTAACAGCCTTTATACCCATTTTCACTTCAGAACCTCAGTGAATAACTGGATTTCATACTTACAATCATACTTTCCTGCATAAATCAAATCAATTAAACCAACCACAAAAAAATACACTTGAATAAACATTTGCCTCCTTCAAGACACCGCTGTGTAATTGCTGTTCAAACAATGCAACATGCTGGAGTTAGTGGCTTTGCCAACTGTCAACCATATTAAATCCCTCTTTAGAAGATTGAAGAGCCTTTGTAGAAAATGCTAAATCAAAACAGCAGGTTTGGTCTGTTCGCCAAAGCGTAACCAAATTATCAACTACATCTAAGAAGGATGTTTCACTTACCATTTTCTACTGTTTTGACATTAACTTATCACATGTTAATTAGTTTGGGGTTTTTTAGAAAAGAAATGGAACAAGTCTTCTCGTACTCAAAAGAAGCATCCATATACTCAGAATGAAACCGGTTATCATCTGTGTATTAAGCCATATACTAAAAAACACTGCATGCATAAATAAGCCCTATAAAGTGCTTTGTTGTTAGGCTAGTCATCACAAAAGAACAAACGTATACATTTCTTATTCAAATTCAGTATACGTCATCATAATAATAATAATCTCAAATGCCAAATGTTGTTGCTTTTTAACCCAATAGCAGAAGATTTTTTCATATCAAAGCAACTACACATGCACAAAAAAAGGGCACGAGTTCCTCTACTTTTTTGTTTTATATCTTACCTGATCGACTGTGGGAGCTCATTGTTATGGTTGTTGTTAACAGGCAGACATGACAGGGGAGGAGAGGTGAGTGGTGAGTGTGTGCACCTCCGGGGTGGTTGTAGTGACCACCATGTGCTATGCAGCCAGGTCGGTGCTGCCAGGTGGAGATGCCAGGCCAAGAAGGAGGGACAGAGAATAGTTGTTTCTTAAGACTTCATCACACAGAGCCACAGGTGGAGACCTCAGTGGTGTGTTGTGGCAGGATTCCTTCCACAAAACAGTCACGCTGTGAGAGGTGGATGAAAAAAAAAAGTGTTTTTATATGCATGGGAAATTCCAGAAAGAATCTCATATACAAATTAACACAGAAGTTAAAACATATAAATAAACAGGATTCTAAATCAGGGGCTGGTGTCCTGTAGACTTTTTATTCCTCTACAGTTATTGAGCCAAAACTCCTGTTTACCTGAGGCCATGTGTGAAACTGTAACAGGCCAGGGAGGAACAAAGTCCTGCAGGTCACCCGCCTTCAAAGGCACCAATGACCAATGTGTTTCATGATAGGTTTGTCTTTATCTGTGACCCTAAATGCACATGTGTAAATCCCCTCTACATAGATAGGCTTTTTAATACTGTTCAGAAGGTTGTGGCAAATATTTCACCTGCTGTGTGTGTGTTTTATGTGCATGGTCAGCTGGACTGTGCCTGCCAAGGTGAGGCTCCCTGCCACAGAGGAGAAAAGTCACAGCTAACAACAATTGAGAAAATCTGAAATTAAATTGCAGTGACTGGTTATCAACATTAAACAGAGGTGAAATCTCTCATTACAAATATTCACCCTATGTGTTGATAAAAACTATTTTGCTTTATTGTGGGCAAGAGAGAAGAAGCTGTTATGTAAAACAGCTCTGGCTTCCTCCAAGTTAGAGTTGTATTACATGTCTGTTTTTTATTAGATTAATATGGTTTCATTTGAGGCATCTGGATTCACTAGAATCACAGCATGTTTACATAATTTAAATGCAACAGCCAGGATTGCAAGTTATTGTCAGTGCTTTTACCACACCCAGTCAGGAAAAGCTTTTGAATGTGGTCTTAAATCGAAATCAAAATGCTACTCACATACATTGATGTTCAACACAAACAGTTCCATTCTGGCCCAGCTATAAACAAAATTCATAAAATGTCAACATTTGCCAGCTTCAAGTGACATTCCTAAATCTTCACTTCCACAGCTTGCATGGTCAGCTGTGGAAGTCAGTACCTTAATAAAAGGCTCTTCCATGTAGCTGAGCCCATAATGAAATGCAAACAGAGGCTTAGACTTACCACAGATTTGATAGCAGAAGAGAAAGAGGAAGAAAAACTGTTCACACTGTCTGGTATGTGTGTGTGTGTGTGTGTGTGTGTGTGTGTGTGTGTGTGTGTGTGTGTGTGTGTGTGTGTGTGTGTGTGTTATGCAATCAAAACTGTAAGAGGTATATGTAATCACACATACCAGGGAAGCCTTTGGCTATTCAGCCCTAACAGAAGCTAAAACTCACCTCTGTCACATCTAACAGGTGTCAACAGAGCTGAACACAAACAAGTGGTAATGAGAGCTGCAATCAGTCACTAGAAATACCACAGAGGCCACAATAAAGTGTGTATGTGCTCTCTCCATCTCTCTCAAACACACACACACACACACACACACACACACACACACACACACACACACACACACACAATCTCCTTGTTGTTGCCATTACTTTAAATCGGTTGAACTGAATTACTGTGAAATGAATGAGTTCAGTGGAAAGAAGGTGCAAGCATTGCATGGCCAAATAATATCTCATGGAAACACGTTACTGCCAGGATTCTCAAGAAGTCCCTCAAGTAAACGACACATTAAATGGAGGCTCCGCTCATTCATTATCGAGGACTGTGATGAAAGGCATCACATCGGAGGAATATTAAGATATTTTTTAAAAATCTACTAAAAAATGCTTGAGTCTTGCCCTCACAGTTTCAGTGAAAATACATTTAATGCAGACTGTCAGCTTCAACATCAGTGTGCTGCTGTGACACTGTACTTCGTCAGCATTTCTCATTTAGGGTCCCAGCATCCTTCAGGGCAAAATGACCAGAGGGGAGGTTTAAATGTTTGTGTGAATGTCTGACATAGGTGTGTGTTCAAGAGTCACATGTCTGCATGTATGAGGAGGGATACTCCTAGTGGATGGACTTGCTGAGGTATGAGGTTTTGGTGAAAAAAAAACCATCAGTGTGTCAGCTTGAGGGCAGTGGTGCTATTCTCTGATCCAGCCGCCTATTTTTGTCAAAGGAGTCATCTGTCACACAAGAATTCAGGCTGTGCTTTTACAGCTTGTCATACTATGTCAGCAGTGACCTCAGGCATCTAGTCCTCTCACTTTCTCTCGTTGCCCCACTCAAACAAACAAAAGGAAGCTCAAAAGAGAAGCCAAGTCTGCTTCTTTTCTGACACCATCGACCTGTAGTCTGTGGCAATGGTCAGCGGTTAGCTGTGCGGTTTTTAATGTTCCTTCCACATGATTTCACTGTTTCTGCAATTGAAACTGTACTTCGGGGATCCTATTAAAAATGAATCTTCGTACAACACTGCAGGTATTTTTACTGCACTATACCACATGCATCTCTTCATGCATCTCATTTCCTGACACTCGAGATTGGATGAGATTTATTGTTCTTGTGCAGTTAAGTTTGAACCTGGAAGCATTTCATGGCGCTTGACAGGAAAACAGCTCTCAGGACCTCTTAATGGACTTCATTTCCCAAGCACTCTGAGCGCTGCCGGGAGTAATCACGATGGCATAAAAATAACATGTGGTCGGGTAGTGAGCAGTAAACAACAATTAAGAGACCCCTTGCATAGCTCATGAAATGAATCATTGAAAATGCACTTGTGCCATGAAGACAGCTTCAGCCTCTCAGCTCTAATTGACTATGAATTATTCAGCTGGCGAGTGGGATTAGTGGCACAGCCAGTAGGCTATTGATTGACATGTTCTTGATTTTTCTTTGTTATTGGCGAAAATAGTTGAGGTGTTGAGTCTTTACAGTTAGTGATATTGACTGCGATATATCGGTCGGCCAATTTTGACTTATTGCAGACATATTGGTTTTGTATTGGTATCAGCGTATATCCGTTATCCAATATGCACCAATATGAAAAAAAAAAATTTCCCCCGGTATGAAATGCAGAAAAAAATGCTTGTGGATATATATTCGTGTCACTGCATAGATTTTCCAGCAGAGTGTGCTAAGATTTGTGGCAAGCAGAACAGATTAGTAAGAAGAAGCAGCTCTCAGCAATGTCAACTAGAATAGGTTGACAATTATATATGAAATTATTTAACATGTTAAAGAATATTTAACTTAAGTATTCTTTAATAAAGTTATTTGTTTAAGAAAGAACATTTCTGAATACCTCTGCAGTCATATTGTGGAATTTTGTAAAATCATATTGCTATTAGTCTCAAAAATCCTACATCAGCATGGCCCTAGTTTAGAAAAATCAACTACATCCTGCAAAACCCCAAAGGATCACTGCTAGCATATTAAGATACTATGTCTGTCGCTGGTTCAATTGAGGGCACGACTGTGTCAAACTGAACCCATCCTCCTTTAGAAGGAGGGATGCTTACAGTCAGGGTTACACAGGTAACATGAGAGTAAAAGTAGGTAAGCAGTAGTATGGCGGGGGAGAGTGAGTGAGCACACGTCTGAGAGGAGACAGTCTATCTAGCACGAAAGGACCTGCAGTAACACAATACTCTCTGCTGCTTGTTCATGTTTGCAAGTGAACAAGGCCAGCTATGACCGCAGGACATCACATCAATCAGCTGATGGTTGAACGGGGACAGGACGAGGAGCACAGGCATCAAGTGGCACAGGGGGATCATTTTTCTTGATACGGAGCTCTGACAGCCTGGGCGCAGTTAGAGTATGGCCATGTAGCACAGCAGCATCCACCTGTAGGCCCTGACTCTAGTCTCTGGTGGAAGATATCTGCCATCCTCTCTCCCCTGATCTCTCTCTCTCTCTCTCCCCCCCTCTCTCTCGCTCTCTCTCGCTCTCTCTCTCTGTGGGCAGTGCCAAGATGCCAAACGTTAACTGTTCTGCTGTGCCGTATTCTCATGTAAATAAACTGTTATTCTGATGCTGACTGACAGAACTGATTATTTCATAGTGGAAAGCAAATGGAGTTTAACATGGTGATGAGAGGGCTGGCACCAAAACTGTGTGACTATGCTTGAGACCTGTCACTTGAGTTCTGCACAAATGCTAATGAAGTCAAAGACATACCATACATTTTGTTTCTCTCCAAATTAAATCACTTCAAAATACATTTGTAATACAGGGCTACGAGGCTTGTTTTGCATTTTAAAGAATGTGGTACAAATTATCGCTGAACATTCAAAGCTGAAAGGAGGGAGGGTGGTTAACAGACCATTGTAACCAGGCTTGTATGAGAAAATTAGAAAGCTATGTTTCATGTTTCTATTCCCAACACACTAAATGTCAATAGAGCTCTGTGGACATACACAACGGAGAATAGCTTTAAAAAGACACCAGCAACATGCCTGGAAATCCACTTTCTGTACATTATCTGTGTAAGTCACAAGCAGCAGACAAGCTAAAACGTATTACCTTCAAATAGACAGGAAACAGCACTCAGATTATGTGCTGCTTTCACCATGTAGACTGTAGCTGGATGGTAACTAATCGCAGCTCAATAACTTACCCTCACACCAATAACAGCTTTTATTGAAAGGCTTATGTCTGCATTGTATCTCTCAGACCAGCACTGTGCTATGAAAGTGAAACAAGTAAAAAAGGCCACAGAAATGTATGAAAAGAGTGAACTTCACTGAGGTCGGCTGTCTCAGAACCAGACTGCCTAAATTCGGAAGGTATGTTTAAAGTTTTGGGTTCGGGGGGGAAAATGCTGAAGCGAGCCATGTTTCCCCTGCGTGCATGTGTGAGCATTCCTGTGAAACCTGCGCAGCAATGTGGGGTTGGGGATTAAAATTGTTGGCATCAAATCCGATGGCACACCGTGATGAAGCACTTGGATCAGCCCTGTCTGTTGTTATATAAATATGAGCTGTGGAAACACCTAATTTATAAGTCTAGTCATGGTAAGCAGACAAATGTGAAAATGTTTTTACATGGCATTAAAATAGACATATTAGCGTGTTTCATTTTTTTCACTTGGTAGCGCGCAATGCTTCTCTGGATTTGAGCAGACTTGTAGTTTGA